ATGGCGCTGATGATGCTGATGACTCTGATGGTGATGATGCTGATGATGATAACGATGATGATGCTGATGCTGATTATGATGATGGTGACAATGATGATGCTGTTGATGGTGATGATGTTGATGTTGATGATGCTGATCACGATTATGATGATAAAGCTACTGATGATGTTGTTTCTGATGATTATGGTGATGACGACGACGATGATGATGGTGCTGATTTTGATAATGCTGCCAGTGTTGATGATGACGACGATGCTAATGATGAGTCTGATGGTGCCTCTGATGATGATGATTCTGAAGATGCCGATGATTATGATGATGATGCAGATGATGATGATCATGATACTGATGATGCTAATGATGATCATTTTGCCGCTGATGATGAAGATGATGCTGATGATGCTGATGATTCTGATGATCAGGATGATTCCGATTTTTAAAATGATGAGGATGTCGATGCTGCTGGTGATGACGACGCTGTTGATGCTGCTGATGATGCTGATGATGATGATGATGCTGATGACGATGCTGATGGTGATAATTCCGGTGCATATGCTGCTGATGATGATTCAACTTATGCTGATGATGATCACGACGATGATGATAATGATGTTGCTGATGCTGATGATGCGGATGATGACGATGCTGTTTATGATGATGATGCTGCTGCTGATTCTGATTCTGATGATGATGATGATGATGAGGGAGATGCAGATGCGGATGCTGATGCTGACGATGACAATGACGATGATCATGATGATAATGCTGCTGCTGATGATGATGATGAGGATGATGAGTATGATCAGGATAGTGATGCTGACGCTGCTGCTGATGATGATGCTGCCATTGGTGATGATGACGATGACGACGATGATGATGATGATGATGATGATGATGAGGATGGCGATGATAACAATACTCGTGATGATGATGATGCTGGTGATGGTGTCGATGCTGCGGATGATGATAATGATGATACTGATGATGATGCTGACGATGATGTTGATGATGCTCATGTCGATGATAATGCTGATGCCTCTGATGCTGCTGATGATGATGAGGACGCTGCTACGGCTGATCATTCCGATGCTGATGATGCTACTTATGATGTTGCTGCTTATGATGATGATGATGATGATGATGATGATGATGATGATGATGATCCTGATGATGATTGTGATGCTGATGCTGCTGATGATGATGATGCTGATTATGATTGTGATGATGCTGCTGATGGTGATGGTGATGATGAAGAAGATACTGACTGGGCGATGGTGCTGATGTGGCTGATGATGATGATGCTGGTGGTGACTGTGACGAGGATGATTATGATGATGATGGTAATTATACTGATGCTGCTGATGCTGCTGTTGCAGTTGATTATGATAATGATGATGATGATGATAATTCTTATTGACATTTTGATGATGACGAGGATGACGATGCGGATGATGACGATGATGATTATGATGCTGATGCTGTCGATGCTGAGAGTGATTGTGATGCGGATGCTAATGCTCATGATGACGCCTGCGACAACGACGACGATGCTGATGTTGATGGGGATGATCATGTTGATTCTGATGATGCTGATGAGGACAATGCTGACGATTATGAGTTCTGTGGTGCTAGTGGTGGTGATACTGATGATGGTGATGAATCTGCTGATGATGCTGATGCTGATGCTGCTGATAATGATGACGATTGCGTTAATGATTGTGATGATGATGCTGGTGCTGGTGATGGTGATGGTTATGATGATGTTGATGATGGTGATGGTGATGGTGAGGGTGAGGGTGATGGTAATGGTGCTGATGCATATACTGATGATGATGCTGATGGTGATTGTGATGATGCATGAAGGGCAGGATGTTGTTGCTGCTGTTGCTGCTCATGATGATGATAATGATCATGATGATTGATGATGCTGCTGATGATGATGCTGCTGATGATGATGATGCTGATGTGTAGATGGAGCAGGAGGAGGAATCTCTGGTCGAAGGGTATGGGACATTCTCATAGATCCCTCGTAGTTCCAGACGGAGGAAGAGTATGATGGTAAGGAGGAGGAGGGACGATGAACAGTGGGAGGTGGGAGGAGGAGGAGGAGGAGGAGGAGGACGAGGATGAGGAGAAAATGGGATTATGATGGATGGTAGCGAAGCGGAGCAGTGGAACGGGGAGACACCGTGGAGATCGGGTTAAGCATGTACGCGCCGAAAACTCGCATCACAGGGTAATTGGCTTGCACCGTTTTTTTTTTTTTCTCGAGGGGGGGGGGTGTCGGACAAACGAGGGAACAATTCCTTCCCAGCTGTAGTAGGAGGACGAACAGTAGCCATGCACGGATGGCTGAGACTCTGAGTTGCAACGGTGCCGTGGGCTCCACATCCCTCACAGTAAACCACGCTTCGCAACACACTTCTTTTCGTCAGCGGCGAGGCGGCGAACTCCGCTCCAGCGTGAAGCTAGAAAGGGGCACTAACTAGCGAATAGGCCGGCGAGCAAAGAGGGGAGAGGGACGGCCGAGAGGAAGACGGGATGCTCAGACGTCGATGAGTTCGACGATAAGCAGCCGGGCGGGCAGCAGCAGCCGGGCGCGCAGGGCCAGCGCGCGGTGGGCGGCCGTGGCGAACCACGGTGGCAAGGGTGGCGGGGAGTGGCAGCCAGCGCCTGGGGCTGGGGGAGCACAGCGGCCTCGCAGCACACGCAACCTACGATTGCTTGCGCACTTTGGATACAGTGGGTGGCGCACAGGGTCCGAGGACAGCTTTGGGCCAGCACGCGGTCTAGGACAGGACCTCAAGATACCACGCAAGGGACAACGACGATCACAAATCTGACGTTTCAAGCTGCACCCACGCTGCACGCAGTTGTGACCCGAGGCGGGGGGCGCGCCTTGCGGTTACACAGGGATGAGAGAGCGCGGGGCCTGGGATATGGGCGGCCTACGCGATGGTTCGCCAGCCTCTTGCACGAAGTTGCCACCTTTATGTGCACAGCAAGGAGTCGTCACGGAAAAGAGTGAGCAAGGTCGTCCTGCTCCTGAACTCGCTTGGCGATACTTCTGGGACAGCTGAGGCGTCTGCCGCCCACCCGCGAGAAACCAATTAACCAATTCAGAAAATCTTCTGCAGACCCGATGGTGGATTTCTTCTGCATCGCAGGAGTGTCGTGGTATTGACTCCACAGAGTGGAAGGGGAAGGGGAGGAGGACGAGGAGGAGGATGATACGGATGAGGAACAGGAGTATCAGATGGGAGGAGGGAGACAAAGAAAGGACACTCCTCCCCCCAGAACACGCGAGAGCCGACCATCCATCATAATCCGTAAGGGCTTCGCCCCCTGCCGCCGGCCCCCGCTCTCGGAGAATGGGCCATGGAAAAGCGAAGTCATGAGGTTTTGGCTTCGCCTTGAGGCAGTGTCGGGACCTGTTTGTTTTTCTTTCGACCCTGACCCTGCGGATCTGCGTAAGGGGTGCCGCCGAACTTCAGAAATGTGGCAAATCCTTTGTGTTTTTCGACCCTGACCATACGGATCTGCGTGAGGGGTGCCGCCGGATTTAAGAAATGTGGCACATCCCCTGTGTTTCTGGACCCTGACCTTGCCGATCTGCGTGAGGGGTGCCGCCGAATTTCAAACATGTGGCAAATCACTTGTGTTTTTGACCCTGACCCCGCCGATCTGCGTGAGGGGGGTCAGTTTTTACTCATCCCAGCAATTCAGACAATACGATCTGGGGGTTGTGACAATGCCCGTTTTGGGCCTCCCCCCCTCGCGCGGCCCATCAACAAGGAACAGTAAGCAGCAAAAAGTCAACAAGGAACAGTTAGCAGCAAGAAGCAGAACTGTAACAGTGGAAACTGGAAGCTGCAACTGGTACAGGAAACTGCGAACCTCCGGCCTACAGCCTGGGGGCCCCGCAAGGGGGCCGGCGGATTTCTGGAAGCCTTGTCCTCCGCCTTCCCCCCCCGCTCTTCCTTTTTCCTGCCCCCTCCCCCTGAGGCCCCTCGGGGTCTCGTGAGGCTCCCAGAGGCCAGATACGTCCAACAACTCGACCCTCGATCCGCATTCTTCGATCCTCGAACCTCGTCGTCGCCGTGTTCGTCGCTGTCCTTCTCCGCCAATTTCATCCTCGACTCATGTCTGGACCCCTCCCAGCCGGACTTATTTTCTTCATTCCACGGGGGTTCCATGCTCGCGGCGACCCGTTAAACCTTTGACCATTGGCGGCGAGTTGATTCCTTCCTTTCTTTCGCGCACGCCTTGTCCTTGGACCCCCTGAACTCTTATGATCCGAGTACAACGAACACTTGAGTACATCTGGTACCCTCAACCCGTTTCGTGAGGACGGGCAACTTTCCAAGGCTAGCCTTACATACTTCCCCTTCGACCCATCTTTGGCCGCTTTCGCTGGCCGCGCCCCGCTCGCAAAGTGTCGACATGGCCTGCCAAGACCCTTGCATCCGTATCGTGCGTCCTTATCATACGGGTTGAATGTACTAGCGTTTGTTGGCGTGCAGCTAATACTAGAGAACGCTTGGTCCTAAAGTACAGCATGAGTGGGGTTACTCCGCTGCGGGTGGGTGAGCAACCCGTACCACTGTATAACGATATATGGCAGTGAACTCATGTTTTGCTGATGTCATTTGCCATTTGGGCTCTCGTGTTTTTCCCTGGTTGCGCCAAGCGGGGTGGAGCCCCACACGCGAGCATCGCGAGCATTCCTCTTCGAAATTTGAGACGGGGCTGCTCGAACTCTTCGCCAGGGATTTCTTGTTAATCCGCGGAAGTCTGACCCCATGGGTAATTCGGCGCGCCCCAGAATGTTTTTCCTTTCGGATTGGCCCCCGTGGGTCCTGCGTTTGAGTCGGCCACGTGATCCAATTCCCCCCCCCCGCTCCTCCTCCCATCCTGGTAATGGGAGCAGACCGCGCTGCGATCGCAGGGCCTCGGCGGATCGGCGGGGCCGCAGCGGCGCGCGCCCCGCGCGCCCGAAGGCGATACTGAGCATCTACCAGGAGGACGGCTCCCTGGCCGCTGCTGCCGCTGCTCGTGCTGCTGCTGCCCCGTCTCCTCGTCGCCGTCTTCCACCTCGTCGTGGAGGTGCGGCGGCTGCGGCCCCTAACGGTGCGGGGGAGAGCCAGGAGATTTTGGTCAATACGTGTTGGTTGCTTGACCTGTGGTGGGCGTCCCCCCCTTCCCCCCTCCTGCCCCATCCTCCTGATCATCCCCCCTGCCGCCTCCTGCTGCCACCCATCCCTCCTCGCCCTCCCCGCCCTTCTCGTTTCTGCGGGCGTGCTTCCTGCGACTTGCAGGGCCCCATTGAAGTCGCGGCAAACTTGCAAGCCAGGCAGCGCAGGGTCATCCATGCAGAGCGGGGAACGCGAACTCTGGCGCCACCGCGCCGAACACAGGCATGTATATCATATAAAGCGCTCCAATAGCGCTGCAGGTGGACGGTACCCCAGGCTAAAAAAAAGCGCAGGGTTTCTGTATTGTGATCTATTGGATCCAGAGTTTCGTCGACGTCGTCCTCTCGTTGTCGCCAAGCCATTCGACGATGGTGCATGTGTCCAGACATACGTCGACCGGGTCAGGTCATCACGTCGTCGCCGTAGGTTAGGGGGTCACGTTCAAAACAGGTAGGGGGGTCGTGCTTGTGTGTGTCCCGTCCCAGTACCAGGAATTGGTCTACCACTTGGGGACCGCGCCGGAGCCAGCACCACATCTACTCGCTAACCCCCAGGGCCACCGCCTCCGCTACAGCCCCAGCGCACTGGGCGCCCTCGCTCGTCCGCTCGACGTCCCCGCATTCCGGCGCGTGGAAAGCAGGCCCCATCGGCGCCTACACCAGCGTGGCCCCCTCCCCCCCGCGAACCCTGCGCCCAGGACGCACGCAGCGAGTCCCGTCGGAGCCCGCCGCCAAGCAGGCCCGCAGCCCACCTCCCTCCCCCCAGGAAGCCTCCACGGGGAGCTCCCCTGCGGAAGAGGCTTCCTTCCAGCGGCGAGTCTTCGCCACAGCGCGCCGTGGCCGCGCCTCTCCAGGGTGCGACCGGCTCCAAGGCGGCACCGCACGCGAAGCCACGCGGCCCCCCGCCCCGCCAGTGCGTGGGCTGTCCGCCGCCCCTCTCGCCCCGGCGATCCTCAGCGCCGAGCTGGCCCACAAGCTGGAAGCCTCCATATGGCTAGATTCGTCCCATGCGTCCCGGGGCCGATCGGCTGGCAGTCAGGACGCCCTTCGGCGTGTCTCGGGACCTTCCCCCAAAGAACAGCTGCCCGCTCCCGCTCCACAGCGGCGGCCCCGTACTGCACAGGCCACCGAGGCCGCGGCAGGTGCCCCTGACGCCGTGCGGCCGCGTCTCAACACCAATCCTGGCCCGAAACCCTCCCTCCCTCCTCGCAGCGCTGCGTCCCCTCAGGATGTGGCAGCTCGGCAAGTACTTGTCCAACGTGTCAGCGCCTTCAGCAATCGCAGTGCACGGTACCGCGACGAGGTGCACAAGCCTGGCGCGCCTAGATTCTGCGCTGTTACGTCACGACTGTCCAATGGCAAGCCACGTGGATCCCAACCAGAATCCACTCGAATTCCCGTGTACGTTCCTGGCCTCGATCCCCCTGTGGGACTTCCCTGGCGCCCATTCCTCTCGGAAGCGCCGCGCCTCGAGGGATCAATGCCGGCTTGGGGCGCTTTGGGACATTCTTGAGGCACATGTGTCCGTCTTGGGTCTTTCTTGGAGCCATTTTGGGGCGCTTCGCGCACTGAAAATTAATCATTGTAGGGACTAGTGGGGACCGGAATGAGGACGGGATGGTGTATTGCAGCATCGTTTGCGGTCACGGTCGGACGAAGGTACATGATCGAGGTCTGTTCGGGGAGGGTGCCCCAATGGTCTTCGTGCTTGTTGGATGTTATTGTACATCCTAGGGGAGTGTACCTTCGGTGATCTTATGATTAGGGGTCTGTCGTAGGTCTGGTCGTATATCTGTTGCGCGTATTCTTGTCCTCCTTCTCCTCCACCTCCCACCTCCTCCTCTCCCTCCTCCACTTCCTCTTCCTCCTCCTCCCCCTCCTCTTCCTCCTCCTCCTCCTCCTCCTCCTCCTCCTCCTCCTCCCATTGACACTCATCCGTTTCTCTCCGTCTCTCTTTTATCGCTCCTACCTCTTCTTCCCTCTTTTTCCCCCCCCTCCCCTCTCTTTCATCCTACGGTCGTTATCTTTAGCATCATCCTAATCTCCCTCCTCGCGTTGTTGCGGAAATTTTCCCTTCTCGACCCCTCATTTCCTTTCTCCACGCGTCCTTTTTTACCTTCTGCGCCTCTTCCTCCTCCCCCATCCTCACGCCGTCACTTACATGGGGCCTGGGGACCCGTAATTCTAGATCTTTCGTGTACCCCCACCAGCCCATCCAGAAACGATTCCCATGCGAGTTGCCCTGATCAGTGATGTGGAGGAGTATGGAGTGAAATAAAGGCCTGGGTAATCCGTCATGGAGAAATCGGATGAGGAGGAGGAGGGGGAGGAGGGGGAGGGGGAGGGGGAAAAGAGAGGAGGAATAGGCAGACAGCGACGATGATGATGATGATGATGCTGATGATGATGATGCTGATGATGATGATGATGATGACGATGATGAGGATGATAGTGATGCTGATGCTGATGCTGATGCTGGTGCTGATGATGGTGATGCTGATGTTGATGATGATGATGATGATGATGATGATGGTGATGATGGTGATGGTGATGGTGATGGTGATGATGCTGATGATGATGATACTGATAATAAGGATGATGATGACGCTGCTGATGATGCTGACGACGATGCTGATGATGATGGTTGTAATGTTGTCGTTGCTGCTGGTGATGACGATGACAATGACGATGACGATGGCGATGATGATGCTGATTATTACGCTGATTATGATGCTGCTGCTCATGATGATGGTGATGCTGCCAATGATGGTGACGATGACCGTGATGATGATTATGATGATGATGATGGTGATGATGGGGGTAATGATGATGATGATGATGATGATGATGACGATGATGATGATGAAGCTGATGATGATGATGATGACGATGATGATGATGAGGATTATGAGGATGATGATGATGATGATGATGATGGTGATGATGATGATTATGATGATGATGAGAGTGCGTTGCGCAGCCTTGATCGTGGCTTCCCGCGGCCGTTTTCAATCCTCAAGTTTTTCTGCTGCGCAACAGGAGCGCAAGGACCATCCCCGCGCGTGGATGATCTGGGCCTTCCTCGCCTCGACAGCGTCTGTGCAGGTCGCTACCAGCAGCGTTGTCACCGCCTTCTCGGCCTGGGTGCTGCGCGGTGTCTTCTCGGACGCCGCCGAGGCGGCACGAGCGGCTGGGCGGGCGGAGGTGAGGTGGCCAGAGATCCCGGAACCGATCTGCCACGTCCACTTTCAGTGCGAGGCTATCACGACTCCAAGCAGCGGGGGTCACTAGTCTTGGCAGCTCGTCGCTTGTGCGCTAGTGTGCCTCGTCTTCTCGATCGTGCAGGTGACCGTCGCGTGCGTTCAGTATGGCGCTGGTTGGGTTGCCAGGGGGGCCTCCTCCGCTTCCAGGGCCTCGAGTCCGAGGAGCGGACGGGGGCCCTTGCCGACGGGGCCAGGGGGAATGATGCTACGCAGGGCGTTAGTGAAGTACGCGGGCGCGGGCGAGGACTTGTCACACGAGCGGGTGTTCCTGAATGATATGATCGGCGGTCTTGTGACAATCGCGACCCCAGACTTCGACGTCTACGACGAAGACATGAGCGACCAACACGTGTTCGAGATGGTGAGGTTCCTGGGCGACAACGGAGAGTTGCCGTTGGGGCTCGGAGGTGCACGCTTGTACCGCTTCGGGTCAGCCTCCGACCGACGCTGAAGTGGACCAGCTGCTCGCAGAGGCGGTCGAAGTCGTGGCGCTCCGTGGCGCAGGGGGTGCCGCAGCGGGCGCCGGCGGCATTGCCGCCGGCAGCGCGGTCGCCGCCCTGGGCGGCGCCGCGGTAGCTGCAGCCCCCGCCATCGCCTGGGTGCTCGCGGAGCACGTCGACGGGCATAGCATCGGCGAGATCGTCGCGCTGCCGGCGGGAGCGGTCCAGGCATACGGGCACGGGCTCATGGTGCTGCCGAACATGCAAATCCCGAGGCCTGTGCTGGTGAAGCAGCTGAATAACTACCAAGCGAAGATCGACACATTCTGTGAGGGGCGTATCAAGCGGTGCCGAGCTGCTACGGCGACACACGGCAACGATCAAGCTGTCGGGGACGGCGTGCGCACACTTTCTGTGGTGTACGGGCCCCACGGCACGCGCAGGCGCGAGGTCCGCCGTTCGGCGCAGGAGATGACGATGACGGAGTTCGACGACTGGCCGCTCCGCGGGCCGAGGACGACCGAGTGGCTGTGCAGGGAGATGATCAAGAATTCGGAAGGTCCTCGGGTTCAGCAATGACAGTGGTTGGCAGAGTCGAAGATCCCCGACGGCGATCGTTCGATCCACGAGGGCGCTAACCTGGCCCTGGTCCAGGAGTTGGCCGTGACTTACGATGGCCTCAGCATCATGAACGCGGCGAGCATGGGGGCGGTAGGGCGGAGGCGCCAGCTGATTGCAGAGGCCCATCACGCCAGCCCGAGCGCTCCAGACTACGAGGGGGCCGCCCACTTCATGGGCGACGGCGCGCGGGCGGGCGGAGCGCTGGCGTCGCCGGCGCTGGCCGCTCACGCGTCAGATCGGCTGCGCGCAGAGGCGGCCATCTCGAAAGAGCAGCGCAAGGCGGCGGAGGCGCGCTCGCTTCGCCCTGGCCCTGGTCGAGGGCGCGGGGGCAAGGGCGGCGGAGCTGGCGCCGACGCCGCCGGGGCAGGGTAGCGGGAGGGCTGAGAGGCGCGGGTTGGCTCGACCGCATCTCGTCCGCTCCCCGAGAGCCGGTGCGCAGCAAGGGGCGAGCTGGTCACGACTCAACCTGTTCGCCGCTGCCTGCCAGTTCTGAGTCATGGCAGAGC